AGCACCCCCGGTCCCACCGGCCCCGGCCGAGCGGCTCCAGCCCGGCCCCGGCCCTGGCTGAGTGGCGCCGGCCGGCGGCATCCCAGCTCACAGCCGCCTCCTCCCGGGCTCCGGCTGCTGCTGCTGCGCTGGGGAGAGCGGCGGGAGCCGGGAAAGTTGAACCCTGGGGAGGAGGCGGTCCCCTTACCATGCCTCCCTTTTTTCCTGGACATGTTCAGCTTTTTGGAAATTCCTCCCGGACGGGGATTTGAGGACCAAAAAGCCGGCCATGTCCGGGAAAATCCGGATGTATGGTAACCCTAGTTGACTGCCTGTTCTTCTCAAGTGGGTTCAGGGAAGCAGCAGGAAACAGGAAGCTCCCTCAGAAGCTGGTGTTAATCAGTCCAGGCTCCTGGAGGTGCTAGAGAGGTACATAAGAGGCTCCTCCTCCTCTCTCTCCCTGCAGCTCCTGCTGATTTCTGTTATTCCCTCTCACCTTTTCTCCTGCCTGCCTGTTATGTCTCTTGTGACCTCCTTCCTCCAGCACAGCACTCCACCATCTCTGTGCAACTAGAGCAGAGAGAATACATATGCACCAGCAGCAGACACAGTTTTCTACACTCTGGGTCCTAGTGGTACCCCCCCACAGTCTGGCACCTGCGGCGGCCGCCTCGGTTCACCTGATGGTAAGGCCAGCCCTGCTCAGGCCCTAACCAGTGGGATCATACCAGAGCAGGCACATCAGAATGTCTTTCCAGTTTGGGGGCGGGGTAGGAGGAGGAAAAAAGAAGGGACATGGTTTGTGCTTTACAACATTTGACTGGTTTGGTTTGGTTTCTTTAGGGAGGCGCATTGCAAAATACAGTATTTACTTTTAAAAACAATTTGCACTAGAGTCCCCTGTTCTCTTTGTTGGAACTAACAGTTTGCTCAGTCTACTGCAAGTTATCCTTAGCTTCGTTCTGTGATATGAAAAAGCTTTTGGCTTCAGGATTGAAAACATGCATGAATGAGCAATGACAGAACTTCCACGGTGCATTGGGCTAATTCACTAGTCTGGGGACCTGTAGCGATGTGACAACTCACTGGTGCGGCGCCTCCTGCTGGTCGTCTCAGGAATTAGCTCTTGTTCAGCTTGGAACACCCTCTGTTGGCCGGTGTCTCACCTGCCTCTGGCCCCCGTGTCCTTCCTGGACCCCGGTGCCCCTTACCCTCTGGGTTCTGCCCCCAGCAGTAACCCACAGTCTGAGTCTCCCCTCCCAGGGGAACCCCCCAACCCTCTATCCCCACCTTGCTTCAGTGGCTACTGCCAGTCATCATCTAGCCCCCACTCACTGGGGCAAACTGCAGTCTGTAAAAGGCCACTCATCATTGGCAAGGGGGGATCGGACCAGCTGCCTCTGCTTAACCCCAGGCTGCTCCTCCCAGCCCCCTGTACCTGCATAGGCCTCTATCAAGGTCTGCAGCCTGGGGAGTTGCTAGGCTGGAGCTCCCCAGCTCCTCCCCCCTTTCCCCAGCACTGCTCTGTCTCAAGTACCCTTCTCTCCCAGGCAGCCAGGGCCTTCTCCCTCTGAAGCTGGAGGGAGAGTGTGTCTAGCTCCTGGCTCATAGCCCTTTTATCAGGGCCAGCTGAGGTCTGATTGGGGCATGGCCCAGCTGTGGCTGCTTCCCCAATCAGCCTAGCTTTTAGCTCGCAGCCCCAGCCCTCTCTCCAGGCTGGCTGTAACCCTTTCCAGACCAGGGAACAGGGGACTACCCCGCTACAGGACCAGAATGCAAATTTTGGATCAGCTAACAAGTGAAAAGGGTGTGTGGTGGCCTCATCCACCACATTTTGATATATTGCAAAACCACCCGACTACTCAGTGCAGTTTGTTGGGATTGGGAGACCCAACTCAAGAGAGGCCCTGGACTGGAACAGCAAGGGGATTGCAGCACAGGATCAAAGTGAATGGGCAGAAACTCTGAATTTGAATGACTGGAAACTGGGTACCCTTCCCCTCTCTAGAGGGAATAGGGCTGAAGTTGATTTTTGGTCTAATGGGTGGGAAGGAGCTCTCAAAACAAATGGCTGTCTTGGGGCATCCAGATGAAAGAGCACTCACAGCAGCAGGTATATGCTGAGGGTCCATTTGTTTCTCACAAGATCTGCACTGCTCATTCCTCGCCCTTACATTTAAAAGGTGCATATTTAGTCCCAAGTTCTCAACCACACAGCATGCTGTGTCTGTGGCTCTTTGAGATGGCACATCTTTGACATTAATAACATCAGTTACCCACCAGCGTGATAGAAATGATGCACTCCTAATGGCATCTTTCTTGGAAGGGAGCTGAAAGGCTGTTGTGCTATTAGTGAAAATGCATGGTAAAATCTTTCCCATCTCTGACTGCTTGAGGGGCAATGGAACCTAGTTTCAGCAGGTTCTGTAGTCCATGCCCCAAGGAGCACGGACAATGGGTTCCTCTTTTGTTACAAAAGAGGGTGTTCTCTGCAGGAGGGCAGAGATCCACTGATACAGCAGGGCAGGAAAGCCCATTAATTGAATGAACAGAATCTAAATTCCCCTATTGTGGGCAGAGGGTGTGGGAATCCTTTGCATATCCTGGGTTCTGTGAAACTGTCTGGCCCAGGGTTCATCCTATTACATCACCACCATGAGGATGGAGAGAGAATGTGATATTTGTTTCCTTCCTGGTTCCCCACCAGCAGCAAACTCACAACTACCTCTGACTGCCACCTCTCCACACCCACCCACACCCCCTGGAGCTGTGGAGTTAGCTTGTTACCCGACCCCATATGAACAATGCTTTCTGACATTTAAATTTCTTTGTGTGTGCGTATGTTTGTGTTTGTGTTTTGGGTTGCCTTCCAATTATAGCATTTCACTGGGAAATTACACTAGGTATTTCTCTCTCACTTTTCTCACGCGTACTTGCTCGGTCTGTTCCCTTCTGCTTTTCTCTTTCTCCTCGGACTTGTTCCTCTGCTTTTTGCTCCTTTTTCTTATAATCCTCCTTTCCTTATCTTATATCCTTCCCTTTGGAGTTACCTGTCCTCCGGTGACTTGTTTCTAACAGTGGTGCTGGTCTTTCTCATTTAGTTTGTGTTTGCGACATGTTCCAGAACAATCATCTCATGTTATTTACAATGTGGTGTTTAAAATGAGATAATAACAGTGTATCAACAAACACAGTCAAATGTGCTTTGACAAGAGTCTCTCCCTGCTCCCCAGAGTGGGGTCCAATCCAACACATAGTTTTCTAAGAACAGTCCTGGGATCTTGTTAAAGAGATGTTTGACTATGTTGACACTGAGTGTTGGTGAGCTGTGATGATGGAATGTCTGTGTAGAAATTATTTTGAATCATGTCTTCTCGAGTATGCTCAAACGGAAATTAGGGGGAGTCCTGAGTAGATGTCATCTTTGGTTGGCTTCTGAGTGTGGCTTTCAAAAGTAGTCTTCAGTATGCTGGAAGGTGAACCCGAAACACTAGAGCTGAGAGCCAGATGGGTTCAACAAAGAGACTGTCAGCACAGTGGGCTGTTCTAATGACCCAGGACAGGTCCGGGATTTTGGGACCTGAGCTTAATTTGTTCCAGCCAGAAAATATTGACCCTAAAAATGATAGGGCAAGAAGTGTGAGGCTGTGATGTCCTTCATGGAAGTCCTGTCTTTAGAAGTGGTGTTTCCAGGAAGTGCAGCAGAGCACAGTTGCTACCAGTTCCGATTACCTGTGGGCAGGATTGATATCTTTTATGGTACCAGCTTGTCTCTCCCAAAACTGCATTAATTTGGCAGGCAAACTTCCCAAAAGCCCAGCTCTGTATTCCAATATATGCACATATTTACTTCTTGAGATCAGTGCAGCTAATTTCACAGGAGAAAGGGACAATGAGTGGATATGTTGGTGGCCAGAGTGGAGGTGTTTAGAAAGAATGAGCCTGGGCCCTGATTCAGAAATCCATCTCTATTTAGCAAATCATGGAAACATATGCTTAATGTTAGGCACATGCTTACATCCCCTTGACTTCAAAGCCACTTAAGCAGTACTTTAGTTAAGCCCATGTTTAAATACTTTGGGGCCATGGATATTAAATTCCTCTGTCAGCCCAGGCCCCCTTAATTTAGCACAGACATTAAATGGCAGGGGAAGCAAGGGGACAATGAACATGGAGGGTCAAATTCACCCTGGCACTATGGCGCTCCATTGACTTCACTGGAGTTGAACTCGCTTAGGCCAATGCTGAATTGGCTCAGAGCCTGTGGCTGTGTGCCAGAGATGAACAGTAGGAAGGAATTAACTGCCAAGCTTTGATGGACACTTTGAGCTTACAGCTTAACCTTGGAGGGAAGTGGTGGGTTTTGGTGTCAGGTAAAAGGTAAAAAAATCACTGAGAGCATAAAGTGCCTGAGAGAGATGACAGCAATCACTCCGCTAAGCATCCTCACTCTTTTCCGTTCTGACCATGCTCACAGAAAAGTCATTCTTCCTTTGCATGGAAGGAAGCCTGTTTGTTATCCACGTTTAACTGCACAGATGTGGTCCTGGAGTGCTGCACATTTCTTTTGGCTAGAGACAGTACCTGGTGCTGATACAGCTATTTCTTTTTCTCCATCTCCTCCTCTAGCTTTCTTTCTGTCCTTCTCTTGCTCTCCCTGCACCTCTTTCTCGCACTCCTCCCATTTCCATAGTATTGCCAGTAGGCTGCATCCCACTGCTTTCAAATCTTCTCTGTCCATGTGTAATCCACACAGAAGATTCTTCCTCAAATTTGCAATGCAAACCCCTCAAATGAAGCTTCCTCACGGAAATGTTACAATATCTTTCAGAGCCGGGGGGGTGTGGGGGGGGTGTTTTCCCCTCAGCCTGCCCCTTCTGAGAGTTGACTTGAACCTGAGAACTCCAGAATGGCTGCCCATCTGTCACAAATGTGGTTATGTGTGTGCATGTTACATGTTTCTGCAGCTCTAACTTAAGGTGTAGCTGTGTTTTTACCAGGCCTCTGCTGTTTCCTTCCAGAACGTTTTACCAGTTTGAAGCAGCGTGGGACAGCTCCATGCATAACTCCCTGCTGTTGAACCGAGTCACCCCTTACAGAGAGAAAATCTTCATTACCCTGTCTGCTTACATTGAGGCAAGAACCTTCCTGTGTTCCTTAACCTGCCTGTCAGCGCACAGAGTAGGCAATATGGTCTGTGAGATCAAGGTTCTTCCACCTCCCCTCTACTCCAGTCCCTGCATGAGCTACTCCAGTTCTTCCAAGTAACTCAAGATGTTTGTGCAATGTACACTATGCCTCACGTGCAGACAGTTCTTACACTGCCAGATAACCTAGAGCTGCAGGGCCTGAGTCCCCACTCCAGCACGCCAGTTTTACAGTAGGGTAACTCCACTGAAATTGGTGCAGTGCAGAATTAGAACCATCAGGCTGTGCTGGGAACATTGCTACACCTCTGGCAGTAACAGGGCATAAGGGGTTTTCATTGCCAAAGCCCATACAGGCTGCTACTCCACACCCTGTGCAGGTGGGCAGGGAGGGAGTGCAGCCACCACCAACACAGCAGCCCGCCAGCCTGAACACCAGAACCAATGCTTGGGAGAAAGTTAGAATCTGAGTCGTGCCCTGCTTGTAGAGCAGCACCGCTACACACAAGCCCTTCCTCAGGCTGCATTGTCAGGTGACAGTCCAGCACTTGGTGTTTCTCTGCACGTTGTATCCATCTCTCTGAGCTTGTGTTCTCCTCCAGATGGTCAGCAGTTCCCTGCAGTGTCACGGATGATTGTTTTCCAGTGCCAGAGTGCTGTCATCGGAGTAGGGCTGTTGGGTTGGGCCAGGACTTCAGTTGTTTGGCGACTGCTGTCAGCAGCGGTGGTCCTGTGCGGAGCAGAGTGTCTCCTGCAAGATCAGTGGGAGTCAAGGGTGCTCAGCACCTGGTGGGATGGGACCCAGTGCTAACAGACAAAATAAACAGTGCAGTTTGGGGGTAGGTGGAAAGTTCAGCTCCGGGCAGCATCTGGAAGGAGAAATGCTGAAAACTAGACAGCTGGTGTCAGGAACACAAAGAAGAAGGTCACTCCATGTAGCAGAGAAGAAAGGCAGGGGGCTACTTAACATTCATTGAGCATGTTCCTGAAAAGGCAGTGCCAATTTTAAAGTGCCCTTGCTTGGTTTAGGCCTAGTTTTTCTGAAGACTATTAACTCTGTGAGGACAGGCATTTTCTCTAAGGTTGGCCCTCCCCTCCCAAAAGCTTTTTATCAGAGTGGTGGGGAAATCTTCTTGCAGAAGCCCAGGACCAAGGGAGCAGAATGGCTTGGCGTAGTGGAGAATCAAGCCCACAACCCTCTGCTGAATATTCTTTATACAGTAGGCAGTTTGGCCTTTGCGAAGTCCCAAGTGTAAAGCAGGAAAGAAGTAATCCAGTTGATATCCACTTTCCCTGGGCATTCTTGAGTCATTCTAGAATGGCCAGCCTCATAGTTTGAGGCATGTATATTAGGAAATGACATATGATAAAGCTATGGAATCACCATTGTCTAGTCACATGTGCTCTTCTCTCTGAATATGGACCACTCAGACACAGTGGTCTTTACTAACATTACAGACGCTGTCATCCCTCACTCAAACTGATGGGGAGGAGTTGACGTTAGCCTCATTACGAGCCGTCTCCATAATTCTCCCTTCATCCTCTTTCTCCACCCTACTGCAGATGGAGAACTGCACCCAGCCAGCTGTGATCACCAAAGATTTCTGCATGGTCTTCTACTCCAGAGATGCCAAACTTCCAGCATCTCGCTCCATCCGCAATCTCTTTGGCAGTGGGAGCCTGCGAGCCTCGGAGAGGTAGAGGAATCTCCTTTCCTTTTTAAAAGGAGGAAGGAAGACACTGAAGAATAATTAGCAATGGTTATTAACAGTGACAATGTCTTAGCTGTCCATAGTGCTAGTCACCCCAAACCTTCCCAAGGCACTTAGGCCCAAATCCTCAAAGGTATTTAGGCACCTAGCAGCTTTTAAATATCCCACTAGGCTTCTATCTGCATCAAATACTTTTGCAAATCTGGCCCTTACCACTCTATTAAGTGAATAAACTAGTTCCACACACTGCAGGTTCCTGATCAGAGGATCCTGATTTATTGATGTAATTGATTCCAGAGGAGCTCTGTGTTTGTCATGCAGAGGGTGGGATAACCAGAGCTGGCCACGAAATGATTATTTTCTCCTGCAAAAAAGGTTGATGAAAAAGATTTGTTCATTGTTGTTGAAAGTTTTCAGGTTTTTAATCAAGAAAGTGTTTTGGTTTAAAACTATTACCAAATACCAAACAAAAGTTGTTTTTTTGGCAAAAACCTGAACTTTATTAACTAAAACAGAATTTCGTTTTGCAAACATGTCATGAGGCATGTTTGGGGCTGGAAAAGTTATGATGTCTGTTATGGAGGGCTTTTATTTTGTTTGCTGGTGTGTATTTATTAGGGTTGAAAGAGCAGTCTGTTCTATCATGCTATTGCACTGTGGAATGAAACTGTGCTGGGCCACCCAGAGCATGGGGTGAGGGCTGTGTTATGTTTGTAAGAAACTAAATGGAATAGCCTGTTCTGAGGGGTTGGATTGGTAACATAGCCTTGAACAAGCTGCATCAAGTGCAGTCCTATAACAAGGGAATCACAGGAAATATATTCTGTCTGGCACAGCTAGAAATCATGCACCTGGTTCCCCACGGCCTCACACCTTGTGTAGACAGTGAAATTTGTGCACAGTGGGTGAGTGTGAAATGCTACCGTTCTGATCTGGATAGGGGCAAATGATTGTACTCACTGCATAGGGGAAAATGATTATACAAAGTGCAAAGTCATGAAGAATCAGGCCCTGTGTTTCCTGGTGATTGTGCAGTGCTGCGTGTTCACGTGCATTGTTCTCTGCCAGAAGGGACATGAGAACAGGGACTAACGCTGAGGTTCTGGAATGATCTATAATTATCTTTCTCTCCTTTCCTTCCTCCCTTGTCCAGAAACAGAGAAATCAGTGCATTATAACAGCCCCAGGATCCAGATACTGTGTTCCATGGGAGGATGCTGGCTAACCTGGTTATCTAGTAGTGGCACAGTGTGCTGGGGCTGTAGGATTGCTGTTCTCAAGCTGGCAAGGAAGAGGAAGTACCTCATGACCATGACCGCCACCTACCCACACAGCCAGCACAGAGGCAGCACTGATGGGCTCTGAAGGGACCAATGTCCAGTCCTTTTCTCCCAGGATTTTCCCTGGGAGAAAAGAAGAATAACTTGAGGTTGTTTAATGCACTACTAACCCTTTGTTGCAATGTGCTAGAGAGCAGGAAGTGGACTCAGTCCCAGGACTGCAGGCCCCACCACATGAGCATGAAGATTCAGGAGGAGAATTTGAAGGACATTGCCAGAGCAAGAGCTTGTTCAACGCTCTTCTAACAAATTATGTACCACATTGTTATTGCTGGCTAGTCGCTTTGTAATGAGAACTAGGGTACACCCAGCATTGTCACAGCTGGGACATGAGCTCCATTTCCCTAGATGCCACCTCCCAGCCACTGCCTCCCTCAGAAGAGGGGCTGTGTGAGGAGCATCTGTCCTCAGCAGTGTGTAACCTGTTGCCTTCTGTTTGCTTGCAGTAACCGTGTGACTGGGGTGTATGAGCTCAGCCTTTGCCGTGTGGCTGATGCCGGCAGTCCAGGTGGGAAGTTCATCTCTACCTCTGGGTTGCTTTAGGGGTTATTTCCCCCATGGGGACTCCATTGCTGGAACTTAAAGGGGACCAAAACCCCTGGGATTCATTTTGGGGTTGGATTGTTTTGGCTACTTATTTTGTAAAAGGACTTAAACTTTGGGGGCCAAATCCATCCCTGGTGTAATGCCATTGGCTTAAGTGGATCAATGTGTGTGGCCCTTTCTGTCTTCATTAGATGACAGGTTGTGAAGGTCAGCACCTGCAGCAACCCAGCATATCCAGTCCCATGCTGGGGGGGGTGGAGATAGAGAACAGCTAGTCTATGCATGTCGTTATCTCCCCAAAATCTGACACACACACACACTACCGTGCTGCAGTGCAGGTATATGGAGCATGTCTGCAATTAGATGTGCATCACCTTAGGCCATTCTCCATCTTACCAGCCCCAGCCTCCAATCTAAAGGCATGAACAATGATCTCTAAAGTGGAGAGCTTCTCTCCTTCAGGTATGCAGAGACGACGCAGGCGTGTGCTGGACACCTCTGTTGCATATGTGCGGGGTGAGGAGAACCTGGCTGGGTGGAGACCTCGAAGTGACAGCCTCATCCTGGATCATCAGTGGGAACTGGAGAAACTCAGCCTCCTACAAGAGGTAAGACTGCACCCTAGAAACCTATTGCCAGGAACTTCAGTCAACCAATGGACCTTGACTTGTAATGGCCAAATGCAAGGTCAAAGATCCTGTTTAACTGGCAGCTTCTCCTACCCATGTCCACTAAGTTGTGTCTGATGCTTTGCCTTTGAGGTACACTAGAAGCGGATACAACATGCAACTGCTGGTGCTGCTTTCCTGCCATTTGACTCCATCCCCATGGCTTCTCTTGCAGAGATCAAGCACTGGTGTGTGGCAGTTTGGACCTACGAAGCTTTAGCAGGGAGGGCTGTGCAGAGGTCTCTTATGTTCTTCTTCGAGTGCTTGCTTTATTAATCCAAGTGGGATGGATTGCACCCTCAGCAAATTCGCGGATCAGACTAAGCTGGGAGGAGAGGTAGATATGCTGGAGGGCAGGGATAGGGTCCAGAGTGACCTAGACAAATTGGAGGATTGGGCCAAAAGAAATCTGATGAGGTTCAACAAGGACAAGTGCAGAGTCCTGCACTTAGGATGGAAGAATCCCATGCACTGCTACAGGCTGGGGACCGACTGGCTAAGCAGCAGTTCTGCAGAAAAGGACCTGGGGATTACAGTGGACCAGAAACTGTATATGAGTCAGTGTGCCCTTGTTGCCAAGAAGGCTAATGGCATACTGGGATGCATTAGTAGGAGCATTGCCAGCAGATCAAGGGAAGTGATTATTCCCTTCTATTGGGCACTGGTGAGGCCACATCTGGAGTATTCCTTCCAGTTTTGGGGCCCCCACTACAGAAGGGATGTGGACGAATTGGAGAGAGTCCAGCAGAGGGCAATGAAAATGATTAGGGTGCTGGGGCACATGACTTACGAGGAGAGGCTGAGGGAACTGGACTTATTTAGTCTGCAGAAGAGAAGAGTGAGGGGGGATTTGATAGCAGCCTTCAACTACCTGAAGAGGGGTTCCAAAGAGGATGGAGCTAGGCTGTTCTCAGTGGTGGCAGATGACAGAACAAGAAGCAATTGTCTCGAGTTGCAGTGGGAGAGGTCTAGGTTGGATATTAGGAAACACTATTTCACTAGGAGGATGGTGAAGCACTGGAATGGGTTACCTAGGGAAGTGGTGGAATCTCCTTCCGTAGAGGTTTTTAAGGCCCGGCTTGGCAAAGCCTTGGGTGGGATAATTTAGTTGGGGTTGGTCCTGCTTTGAGCAGGGGGTTGGACTAGATGACCTCCGGAAGTCTCTTCCAACCCTAATCTTCTATGATTCATGTCGTTTCCAAGCTAGGTGTGTGCGCGCCTACGTGCACGACTGCCAGAGATTTTTCCCTTAGCGGTATCCGTAGGGTTGGCTCTGGCGTTCCCGGGAGCCCCGTGCTCATGCACTGGTATATGAGGCGCCGCTGGCACTGTGCCGTCTCAGTCCCTTCTTACCACCCGTGATGGTTGCTGGAATGACTTTCTCCCTTTGTGATTCGCAAAGTGCTCTTAGTAATTTACCTTTCATAGTTTTTGTATATAGTTTTGTATAATTACCTTAAGTAGAGTTAGTTAAGTTAGAATAGTCATTAGTCTCCTTAGGGACTTTGTTCCTGGGACTTTGTTCGCTGGTCCCCAGGATTCAAACCGTGTGCCATTTGCCACAAACTTCATGCCGTTCAGTGACCCTCACACAAGCTATCTGAAGTGTCTGGAGGAATTGCATGTTCAAGAGAAGTGCAAAATTTGTAAAGGTCCTACAGCATGCACTCAAAACGAGAGCCTTGTATGGTGTCAAGCATCAGAGGGATAGCCATGTTAGTCTGTAACCACAGAAACAATGAGGAGTCGGGTGGCACCTTAAAGACTAAACAGATTTATTTGGGCATAAGCTTTCGATGCATCTGAAGAAGTGGTTTTTTTACCCACAAAAGCTTATGCCCAAATACATCTGTTAGTCTTTAATGTGCCACCGGACTCCTTGTTATTCAAAATGACAGAGATATTCATCTCCAAGCCCTTCTGATGGAGGCAGCACTTAGACCAGCCTTGGAACTTACCTGCTCCGACTCAGCGCCTAGTACCTCAGCCTTGGTACGGAGCGCCCCACCTGCACTGGCTTCACCTTGGCACTGCTCACCATTGCCGTTGCCATAGAAGCACCACAGGAAGCAGCACGCTGAACATGGGCGCTCCCTGGTCTCGAAGAGGGATGGGAAAGGCGGCAGGCAAAGGACCCATGTCGGCCCATCTGCCTTTGTCAGGACTGAAAGGTGCAGCCTCTCTGCCCAGGGCTCCGAGCCCAGTACAGGAACTGCCTCTGACTCCAGGCAGCGGCAGGGGTCCCATATACCTTATGGTGCCCTCAGTGCCGGAGGTCTTTCAAGTGCCCAGGGACCTGATGGCCCTACTGGTGCCGCATACACCATGGAACTTCCCTCCATCAGCGGAGCCAGTGAAAACCTCCCCCTCCCAAAGGAAAGCCTTCCATGGGGTCACCCCAGTGGTTGCTTGGTCATCACCATTCGCCACAGTCCTGACACCAATCCACAACTCCAAGTCTCCGGTCTCCAGCACCGCGTCTGTGGTCTCTGACCCCATGTCCCTGGTCCCCAGCCCCACATTCCTGGTCCCCAGCTCTGAGACGCAGATCACCAACCTCACGACATCAGTCCCAATCTCCCGGGTACCGGCTGCCCTCCTCCCAGCACTGGTCACCGTCATCGCACTGCCGCTCACTGACGCTCTGTTCCTAATCTCCGATGCCTTGGTTTCCTTCTCCACGTGTCTCACCGCCAACTTGACACCAGTCTCCGATGCGGCACTGATCTTTGTATCCCTGCCTCCGATCACCTTCCCCTCAGTACTGCTCAGCCCTGCAACGTAGCCAGCAGTGAGAGGCACCGTTAGTGCCACCATGGTCCCCAAGAGAGAAGTCCTCCTCGGAATCGGAAAGGGATTTTGTTTCCCAGTCCCAAAGGCACCATTTGGCCCATGCGGGCCACTTGCAGCACCGGCCCTGCAGCGAGTGTCTGGCTGCAAGGTCAATGGCCACTAAGTTGGCCAAACTGGAACCCATGAGGGCTCCCTATGATGCCAGGACTGTACTCCCGGCTGTCATCCACAGCCTAATTGGGAAAGCAGACTGCAGCGCCTCCTGTCTTGATACAGGAAGTGCATGGCGGTGGTGGCCACTTACCTGAGGCGCTGGGGCATTCAGATCTACCCATACCTCAATGACTGGCTTGTCAGAGGCGGGTCACAGGACCAGGTGCAGTGTGGCCTCTCTTTCGTGCAAGCCATATATCAGGATCTAGGCCTATTTACCAACGAACAAAAATCGACTCAGACTCCTGTTCTAAGAATAGAGTTTATAGGAGCAATATTTAGCTCCACCCATGCCAGAGCCTACCCGCCGGAGTCCCGATTTTGAGTTATGTTGGATCTCATCGAGCATGTCAGAGCCGACCTGCTCACGACTACCCTCAAACTGCTAGGTCACATGGCAGTGTATACGTACGTGGCTTGACGCATGGCTACGGCTCAGATCTCTACAGACATGGCTGGTGTCGGTCTTCTCTCCCAACAGACACAATTTGGACTTAGTGGTCAAATGTCCTGTCATCTCTGTCTTGGTGGATGGAACCGCGAGCTGTTTTGGATGGGTTCCCCTTCGTAGTGCTGCTCCCATCGGTAATGTTGGTCTCCAACGAATCAGATCTGGGATGGCCAAGGCCTCTGGTCTTAGGAGGATTGTTCCTTCCACATAAATATCAGGGAACGCAAGGTGATACGCCTGGCTTACCAGGCATTCCTCCCCATCTAAGGGGCAGAGTGGTACAGATCTTAATGGACAATACAGCTGTAATGTTTGACATCAACAAGCAAGACAGAGCCCACTCATCTGCCCTGTGGCAAGAGACTCTTCACCTGTGGGACTTCTGTGAGCATCATGCCATTCATCTCGAGGCTTTGCACCATAGGCGTCAACTTCCCCTCTGCCTGGTGGGTGCTCAACCCCCACCCCGCCCCACCTCTTCCCAACCCTGCACCACCCTCGCCCCACCGCCATTCCACCCCCTTCCCCCAAGTCCCCGCCCCTGCCCTGCCTCTTCTCCGCCTCCTCCCCTGAGCACGCCATGTCCGCGCTCCTCCCCATTCCTCCCGGAAAGTCCTAAGTGCTGCCAAACAGCTGTTAGGCGGCTGGGGGGCAGGAAGCGCTGGGAGGGAGAGGGAGGAGCGGGGATGTGGTGCGCTGGGGGCGAGGGGAAGGAGGTGAGGAGTGGGGAGCTTGGCTGCCAGTGGGTGCAGAGCACCCACTAATTTTTCCCCGTGAGTGCTCCAGAGCTCCCACGGAGTCGGCGCCTATGCTTTGACCCTCCTGAGCATCCGAAATGCATGGGCGGATCTCCTCAGCAGGTCCTTCTCCTTTCTCCACGAGTGGTCACTCCACCCAGAGATCATCAGCGTGATCTTCCGAAAGTGGGGGACTCCCCAGGTGGACCAATTCGCGACCAGTCATAACAGGAAGTGTCAGTAGTTGTGCTTGTTTCGCGGGCTAGCCAGAGGCTCCCTGTCCAACACTTTCCTGCTCATTTGGATGGGAACATTGCTGTACGCCTTCCCACCGATACCCCTGGTTCACAAGGTCCTACTGAAGGTCAAGAGGGACAAAGCGAAGGGCATCCTGGGAGCTCCAGCGTGGCCTCGCCAGCACTGGTTTGGCACACTTTTGGACCTCTTGGTGGCAACCCCGCTAGAGCTCCCGCTTCGACCGGAATTGCTCTCACAGAACTGAGGCCGTCTGCTCCATCTGAACCTAGCATCACTGCATCTGACGGCATGGCTTCTGCATGGCTGAATGCAGAGGAACAGGCCTGCCTGGACCAAGTCCAGCACATCCTGTTGGGTAGGAGGAAGCCCTCCATCAGGGCAACTTATCTGGCCAAGTGGAAGTGCTTCACCTATTGGGCCACGGGCTCAGGTCTCTCTCCCTCCTGGTCATCACTACAATCCACCTTGGACTACCTGCTCCATCTCAA